CATGTCATGAGTTTTGCTTGTCTGCAGCCTGAGGTGCAGTTTCCCAGAAAGCCCTGGCAGGCTTCACGGCCTCAGCAGGGGCTACCATCCCTGCAGTTTTCACTCCCCTGTACCTTAACATACACACGCCACACGAGTTTTGCTTTCAAGACTTTGAGGTGCAGTTTCCCAGAAACCCCTGCACCTATCTCCTTGAAACTTGGCAAGCTTTGTGGCCTCAGCAGGGGCTACCATCCCAGAAGTTGCATCTGAATCAGGCAAGAAATGACAAAGTTATAGGCAGTTTCATGCTTCCCCATTATAGCCTATGGGCAAAATGTTGAAACAGCATCGAAACAGTTTCGACAAAATGGAGCAGAATAGCACTTTCAAAATGAAATGAAACTCAAAACGAAACACCGTCCCGTCAAAATGGTGAAATGGAAATCGAAACGAAGTGGTGCTGTTTTGCACAGCCCTAACAGATAGTCACCCGTTAGGAAGAAAGGACAAAGATGCTGGATTACAGAGGCAGCGGGGGAAGGAGCGGGGACAGAACCTGTATAGTCTGCTTTGGGGCCTGGAGTGGAACCCAGGATTCCAGAGTCTCACCTTTCATCTGCTGTCAAAAAGTATCTGTCATGTCTACTGCTGATGTCTTTGTCTGATCCCCACCTAATGCTAGTCCACATGAAAAAGATGACTACTCACTACTGCTTTCAGTTTCTCCATTAATACCAGTGGCAAAGGTCTGGGCTGCACTTTGGAGATGCTAACTTGGCATCAAAGGGATGCCAAATTATGGAATTTGGTTTTGTCCCCACTTTACAAAATACCTAGTCAATTGCATTAAATTACACACGCACACACACACATACACATGCATGTACACACACATACATACTCTGTACTAAAATACTGCTATTAATTGACTCCCTTTGTGCATATGCATGTTGATATAGCCCTTAATTACACACTTACATACAATTTTTTTCCTACAACAGCTACTCACACACAAGCACCCCAGAAAAACACAGGAAGGAATTAATAATTTAATATTCAGAAGAGGACAGCATAATGAAGTGAACGAAATATTGAGCAGCTGCTCATTCAAAGAGAACACCTCCTTCAGCACTGAATGATAGAGGTCCTGTGGAAATAAAAATGATCACATAATTAAAGGCTGTGCAAAGGCAACAAACAACCTTTATTCAGGCATTTCCTATCCTGATGACTTGACTTAATTTTGGTTCTGTTGTGTAGAAAAAGAAAGTTTAATAATGTTGCTATTTAGAAATAAAACATATGCCATGCTACCAAGTTGTCCACATGGCATCTTAATAAAGTAGAAAACCAAGATTAGATCAAGATAGAAAGTGGGCATGCATGTCTGTTCGACTTTTAAGGTCATTAAGAAACAAGCACAGCAGCCCTGGGAAGTAATCTTTATAAAGTGCTGGAAACTGAGACTTGGTTTTTAGCACCTACAAAGCCAAACCCCCAAAAATGGAGGAGGAAAAAGTGGGGGGAGGGGGTAGAAAAATCAAGCTTCATCCTAACCCATGTTCTGCAGACCACAAGGTAGTATTCTGTTTACGAATAAATGATGCATAACATTTCCCTACGCAAATAAAGAGCCCATTTTTTCCTGATCAAAAAATCAACTGAAGTTTCCATGATTGAATGAGTGCAATATGAGTTCAGCTCATATGCCAGCTCTGAAATGAAATAGCTGCCTCACAGTGCTGCCTCCTTTGAGCAGATTGTTTCCTCTGCGTTTAAACAACCCACATGTAGGAAAGAGAACAATGCAGCTCTCCTTTTACTTACACAGCTGCACAGTCGACAGGTTGTGAGGGCTAGTGTTACATCTGATTCTGGTTTATGATAACAAGTTACTTCCTCTGATGTATTCATTTTAATGGACACGAAGAGAGGAACAATAAAGCAACAGCTTCTTAGCAAAACAAGAGCTCTGTGTTGGCCATCATGGACGCACCCTTGCTGGAATAACAACAAACTGGGCTTCCCAACAGGAGTGATGAGGCAGTCGGAGCGTCTCCCACCAGACTAAGTCTTCTTTCTCATTCCTAATTCCTAATCACATTCCCAGTTTCTCATTCAGTCTCAAATTCATTATTCATCCCCTGGCTGAAGTTTGACTGTTCAAGAGATTACTCTTCTAAAATAGAGAATGCACACTATTTTGCTTCACTGAACTGCATACAAGCTCTTTAGGCAGAATAAATCACTGCAGGTATGTTGTGTTCAGTGACACTATAATGGGTCTTATACCAGGCAAGAAAACTAGGACACGGTTGTCCTAAACTAAAAGCAATTTATCGAACCCTAACAGATACAACTCTAATTAGAATCGAAGCATCGAAGCAGTATTTGCAGTTAAAATTTAGAACTGTAGCTAGTCAAAGCAAATGCTCACCACCCTGTAATATCATGAATGCAACTTCGTTGGTTGATCAGGCCATGAAGTCTGGCTTTCACATCTGATGTTGATGCAGGATCTTGGATTGATGACATGATCTCTTCAGGCTTTTTGAAAGGGTACACTTTTTCACCTCTCTTTATATACAACATAGGTTGCATTTTTTAATACATAAAATTAGCTGAAGCCTGCCTCCTAATGCATATTAATAATCATAATTAATAATCTTCTGTTTGCCAGATATGGATATCTTTAACTGGATTTTTTTATTCTGAGGTAATCTTTTTATTCTTAGGTGGGGATGTTTAGCTTTGACTGTTCCCCTTTTGCCTAGGCTATATTTATTCAATGTAGTTAGTCAACTTCCAAATTCATTTTAAATCAGGAACAGGACTTCTCCATCTGCTCCTTTCACGGGGTCCATGTCTTGACCACAATTCAAGCTAAGAATGCAGCTTAAGCTAAACATAAAGGTTAAAACCCAGACCTGAAGACCTCTGGGTCCCAACAGGTATGAAGGGTGTAGAAGTGATAAGAGATTTCACCAAGCCATGCATCTCTGTAATCTAACAAACGTTCTGGAGAGGAAAGGATCTTTTAGAAATCAGGAAGCTTTGTTGATCACCAGACACTAGGGGTGCACAAATGGTCCGTTTTTGATTTGGATTTGGATTCGGCCCGAATAGGGGACAGTGATTCGATTTGTTGATTCAGATCACTGTCCTGATTTGATTCGGCTGAATGCAAATCTGAAGATTCAATGCTGATTCAAAGTATCAGTGATTTGGACACAGACGCAGCTTTAAATGCTTTTTCTATATACCTTGAGGTAGCAGGTGTGGCTCATGAACGCTGCAATGCTGGGGCAGATGGAGCATCCCACAGGAGTGTGGGGGCCCCCCCCCATATGCTCAGTGGCGAACCGGGAAGTGGACCGAAAGTACTTTCGCTCCACTTCCGGGTCTGCTGCCAAACGCGCGGGGGATCTCCACTGCAGCCCTCAGGCTTTGC